ATGGGTAAGTATTTTCTTTGAAAAAAAAATCATGGGCAATGAGGTGGCTGGACAGTTTGGGAGACTCGTAATAACCAAGACAGAAACACTGAGCCAGCACGTCTGAGATTGTTGATTTCAGTCCAGGCAGCCGACCATGACCGAACGAGATTTGCGAGTGTAAGAAATGTGACCGTCTCAGCCTGGTCACTAGGCACGCAATGATTAACTCCTCCAGCAATTTGATGAGTTTTCCCGATATAAGGCCATGATTCAATACAAGAATTAATGTTTTTTCATAATCATGTTTTACAATGTCATTTGTATTGTTTTCCTTTTTTTCTGCCTCATTTGTACCGTTTTGTTCACTACACTATCTGAAGTGTGATAACTGTATAACAATCATATGCGTAAACTCTTAATAATGGGTTCTGACGCTCATGATTCAATGCATGTATCGCAAGAGTAAGACCTGGTTTTAATCAGTGAAACGATGCATTATTAGGTGCCTTCTGGTCACCAGTGAGTGCAGAAAAAGTGAAAACATAACATTTTATTAGTCCAGGGGCCTTGGGCAAACATAGGTAATGAGCGATTGATCTGAAGTTAAGACAGGCAAGCGACACCTCCTTAAATGAACGTGCACCACAACCGTCAAATAGAAAACCATGGCTGTATTTCCTGAACTGTTATTAAGAAGAAGAAAAAAATACTTGTAAAGTTTGAGGTCACTTAGAACAGGAGCACATTGGTCCGATTACAGAACAGCCTGACCTCCGTAATTTCCATCACGAGACTATGTGCCTTCGAAGTACATTTGAATTGTGCCCCCTTTCTCCAGGATGGCCATGTCCCACTCCTTTTCTGTAGAAGTGTCTTGAGATTCGGTTGCATTTGGACGCTATGTAAATCCAAAATCAATTGTGCAGATCGTAAAACCGTTTCATTGTGAACGAAGATAATGTTGGGGTAGCCCAGAACACAGTGAATGATTGTATCAACAAGGCACGTCTTCGTTTGGGTTGCAATTTCCTTCAAATACTGGTTTTGACTGGCTAGAAGAATCAGAATCTTTATTTCGACTAGAGGAAGCCGATGAGCTATGAAGCTCTTTTCAGATATCTCGTATGGGCGGGTCAGCAAGTTCAAGAGGTAGAATGATGCATCGATTAATGCCCGTTATTCAACTCACGATACGTGGGTTAAATCACTTTTGTAAGAATCGATATTTAGATATATAATGGATTCACGTGACCGCTGCAACCACTAAGTAATGAAAAATAATGCATTCTTGAATTAATTTTAGAGCCAGAATGGCAACTATTCCTCGAATCACCAGGTAAGGTTGAATGTTTACACCACCACATGCTACTCACCATCATTTACGAACTTGAAGTAAACAAAAAAGACAGGAATCAAACAAGCCCGACTCTGCTGATGAGCCACTAACATGTCGAAGCCTGTCCATAATTTGCACGTACTGAGTCCATGCTGCTGAAATAATGCACTTACAGAAGGCTTTGCGGTGGTGGGTTGCGTAAGAAATACTTAAATGATTCCAGTGGAGAGACACATATAAAAGAGACATTGTGTGTGCTTATTTTGTTAAAAGAAAATAGTCTATTTCTACCACCTTCAGAATCATCATAATGATAAATTAACGGCCCTTTGGCAATCCAATGGGGTTGGAGGCTTCCCTCTGTCCTTTGGTCTTCGGGGGTTGTTCGACTATACTGCGCCACCGTGGTCAGTGCAGGTGGGTGAAGTACGAGAGGCCCAAGACAAGTTCAGATATCACTCACCAGCGGTGTTAACCGTGGCCGGGAATCACTCAGGTCACCATGTAAAATATATAGTGAAGAAAAGTGGTGGTGCAGTACACAAAACCTTTACAACTGCTCCCCCCCCCCCTACACAGTACATTCATCACAACGTTGCAAAACTTGTGAAAGACTGCATTGTCAGCATTACACTAAAGAAGTAATTTTCAGACTTTTACCAGCCAGCCAGACAGTAAGATTCCCGATTAAATGTGGGAACGCCAATGGCTGATCCAGTCCAGGCAAGCAGTCTTCAAGTGATGCCACTAAGAATCAAACTGTTCCCCCACCACAAAAGTGGTCCAAAAAGCCAGCCTCCTCCAACACAGCTGCAAGCCACTGATCCTCAAAAAGTGGTCTAATGTTTCACTCGGCTCGAAGTCGGTTACGTACACTGGAGGCAGACCAAGATGGACAATATATCCTGAAAAATTAATTTTAAAATGACCTCCTTTTATGAAGAGGCCAAAAAGTACCTTAGCAGAGCTCCGATGTATTTGATTTTATATTCAAACAAAATAATACGGAAAATAATCAAATAATTTCTAATTACAAAAAAATGCAAATGTTATTGAACTCGCACGCTGTGCTCTCCACAATAATAAATCCACAAACGTTCTGATGAGAACATTTAAAGAAGTTGCTCAGTAAAATATACACTGGCTTTAAACCTGGTCACGTATGGGTTCCTGCATCACTTATTAAGCTGGTCACAAATAACTGTTCCATTTCAACAACGAACTGAACAAGCACTCATCCACACCAACATGGTCACACCTCCCTGAGGCAGGCTACATGGATGTGAAGACCTTGGAGAATGCTCAGTAATTGCAAGTGCACATTGGATTGCATTTGAAATCATCATCTATCCACTGCTGGCTGAAGGCCCTTCCATGCCACCACGAGCCCTCGACCAGTATACAGCGATGTAACAATCCATCTTCGCTCCAGCACACGAAGAGATCTAATCGCTCCATCTCCGCATTGGTAACCCTCTCGGATGGAGCTCTCTACTCTGGCTATATTTTTAAACACCCATACATTTGTAATTTGTGTAAGTGTTGTTTAAAATTGAACATGGTGTCAGCGGTTGATGTGGTGAAGTCACAGCCTGTAAACGCTGGGTCACGTTGACCCCACAACCTCACAACGGTTTCTAGGTCAGCCCTGAAGCCCAGGGTCAATTGTGTTGCGTGAAAGGGCCAGTGTGATTGAGGAACGACAAGCTTATGACATCCATACCTGGGTCCAGTTATAATTATAATTACGGGAGCATTGTGGAGCTGAAATGATAGTAACAATTACATTGTGATTGCAATCTATTACGAATTACACAAATACAATTGTAATTGATCTCGCGAAAGCACCGCTGTGAATCCTTGGGTACAGAGCCCCAATTACAGCTTTATCAAGGGAAGACCACAGCCACTTTATAAATGGTCATGGCAACCGGGCCTTATTAAAGCAAATAACCACCCTGCAGGCAACAACCAACCAATCACACGGTATTTTACTACTGTTCAGTCTGGGGGAACATTGATGACACTGATTGGTTGGTTCATTTGATGGCAGGGCCAGGCAAATTGTAATCATAGTTGATCATAATATCACACAATGCATCTCCGCAGTGGAATATGTACACACAGTCATAATCAACGTCCAAGATCAATCCACTGCTGCAACAAGCCCCCATTCAAGACATCGCCATCTCTCACAGTCATGGGATATTACAAATATTCCACTGAGTGCTGTCTTCCCAAGCTGATTTCATTGCTTCATCTCCATAGTGGGCATATTCTCTCCTGCGGTACTACCCAGGTATACACTGTCGTTCCAAAAATGGCTATGGCTGCACTGGTAGTTGTAATTAATATTCGTGATGTGCAGAGAGTTCTTAGGAGCCACACCAATTGTGGTATCACCTGGCAATGTACCGTACTGTGTAGCCAACTTTAGAAACACTGCTTCAGACGAAAACCCCATTTTAAGCGATAAAATGTTCTACCGACCGTTTCATATACGCTTTGAGAAAAGACTGTGTATAAGCCAATACTATTATAGTCATAATAAAGTTGATGATTCCAAAAAGAACTTTAACAAAATTGTTCACTGCATTCTTTACAAAATATAAACTTTTACTCTGGCTGCTTTGTTTAAAATTGTAAACGTCATTTTTTTACTGTGTGTGTATATACGAGAGTTAATTAACGAGCATCAAAACAACTGTTTTGTAACGATTCCTCAAATGGAACATAATATCTTTTTCATGTATGCTGTGTAAATGCTGTAGCAACAGCGGCGGCTACTGGGTAATAACGTGATGTAGTTTAAAGAGATTAACAGACACCCATGGGTCGTAACTTTTATGATAAACGGCGTCAGTTTACATTTCTTGACGCGTTCATTCCGCCTGGCTTTGACACCGTAGGAGATATAAAACCAAGAAAGACTTCGTGCAAGCGTCCACAGCCGAAATGAATACACCGAAACAACTTAACATCCTAAGCCGAGGTCGTCGGGGAAACACTGCGAGAGTTGGCTAAGATGATAACGTCATTCACAATTGGATGTCTTTTATGTATATACAGCACAAACGCAAGTGCCTGCTCAGCTGAGAAATGTCCTGGTGAAATCTGTGTGACTTTACCGAATAGAACCAAAGAGTATGGATCCTTGCAGTCACGAAAGCTTTAAATCTAGAATTACTGACAATTCAACATTCCCATGGATGGTAAAAGTTTGTTTCCAAATTTACAGCCAATGTTTAAGTCACGCAATGGTCCTCATTTTTAATCAACGGCGAAGGGATGGTGGGCCCTCAAAACCAGGATCAAAAATTCTGGCCTTCCTCACTTCAAATGTAACAGAACATGTTTTGATGTTTCGCTTCCTGTGCAATGGCTTTGGCTGATGGTCCAATGAAAAAACTTTCAATAAAATGCACTGCTGCAATTTTTTTAAAAAAAGTGTCAAACTGAAGTCTGCATACAATAGCACACCATTGCTACCAGCAGTAACACCATCACAACCATGAATTTAATCTCCCTCGGTATATATAAAAAAAAAGATTAAAGCCACTGGTTGTCAAGATCTATAACGTCTAAATACATCAAGCAAGTTATCAATGAACACAGCCAGTAATGGGGAGCCCGAGGGATCATTGAACACGAGGTGATGCAAGACGTAAGTGACAGAACTCACCGCTTCAAACTTGTCTTTATTCCTTCGTAGGAAAGCAACGCACGCTTTCCTTACGTCCAGATGGAGGGACTGTGTGTGGAACACCTACACACCACAAGTCGGGGGACACAAAGGACACAACAAGAGTTCTTCAACAACAACACAGGGCCAAGCATGGCATTGTCGTGAACTGCAAACGGGCACACACAACACAAACGTTTAGTAGTAATTAAGATGTTCACGCCATGTCAAATTGTGAATGGACGTTGTAGAGTATTCATAACAATGAACATTTACAGACAAATGATGATGATGGGGGTGGACAGACAGTGGGCGTGTAACGTTCACAGATGTAAAGAAACTGCAACATGTGCTTACCCAACCACCACACACACCACTACTACTACCACCAACACAATAGCAACACGACACAACACAAAAGCGTATACGTCATGTTAAGTAAACCAAAAACGACGACAGAAACATTTCAAACCTGTCAACCCCTTATCAGTGCCCTACCTTATTACAGACCAAGTCAGACCTTATTGGTCACCCCGTGCCCCTTATACATCTCAACCTTCATCCCACAAAGTCCCATCACAAAGGAGTGAAACACAAATAAGAGACACAAAAATATATATATTTTTTGCCCGCATTGAAACGACTGTAGGCCGTCTGGAGCTGCAAACTCAACGTCCCTGTACAAGAACAAGCAGTTACCACACCGTATGGGTTGACAACTATGACATTTTTTAACAAACAAACACACAAACAAGCATCCCATGTCTTACCTGCTCCGCCACGACTCTAAAGAGACAGGACCCATCTTTGGCTATGAACTTCCGATAGAGGCCGTGGCTCGAGAGATATTCGTCGATTGATTGTTGTTGGGAGTGTGGTTGCACCACTGCAAGTCTTTTGTGTTTGTACATGCTCTTCGGTTGGACGAGGTGGTGATAATTAATGGTGGGTTGGTTGTGTTGTTAGCGATGTCGCTAATGTCGTCGTCTTCGTTGTTGTTGTTGTTGATGGTGGTGGACCATCAAAGGAAACAAGGGGCCGATTATAACAGCGGAACGACTGTCGAGAAAGCTGCGGCCGATGGTGATGGTGGTGTTGACGCTAGTGTCAAGAAAATAAAGCTATTCAAACAACGAGAGAACAAGCAATGGACCGATAAAGACGACTGTTGTTGTTGTTGATAACGACGGCGACGATGATGATGATGCCTAAATCAAGAAGAAAAGGCAAATCTACCCAAGCACAAAAAAAACAAAAATTCGTTTAAAGATGCTGCCGATTATAATGGAGCGGCTAGGAAGGAATTCACAATAGCCAACATCTTTAAGAAGACGACGACGACGATGCTAATGACGATTACGCCGATAACAACAATAAATTAACGATGAACGCAAACATCAACAACATGCGCCCGTCGGATGTTTTGGTGGTGGAGGGTGGAATCGTTAACAACAACAACAAACAACAAGAAGAACAAGAAGAAGAAGAACCTCCTCCCCCCCACCTCTCCACCCCTACCGTCACCGATCCCCACTCAGTCCACGGACGCCGCGCCACCAACGCTGAGGCGCCAAACGTCAAAGTGGCGGCGCCCCATGGACGCCGCGGACACTGCTTAAGGCAGCCTACGGCAAAGCAAAGCCTCGGCGATGAAGAGGTGCTGGGGGGGGGGGAGGATGAGCTTCGAGGAGGAGGAGGAGGCGGAAGAGGAGGGTGGAGGGGAGGGAGAGGGGGGTCCCTGTCCCCTTCTTCTTCTTCCCACCCTCCGCTACCCGCGCACCGACCCCTTTCTGCGCCGCTCTTTACCCCCTCGTCCCGGCCGCCGCCACCACCGCCACCAGCAACCTCCTCCTCCTCCCTCCTGCTCTCTCCAACACCCCCCCCACCGCCCAGGGTGCTGGCTGAGCAAGGAGGTTGCCGCTGCTCCTGCTGCTGCTCCTGCTTCTTCTTCTTCTTCTCGCGGCGGGTGACTGTGTCACTGGAGGAGCGCTCGCCTCCTCCTCGCTGCCGAGGAGCCTGCAGGAGCCCAGCTCCGCCGAGCCAGCGCCATTCCGCAACACTGCGCGGCGATGCGAGTCATTTCCGGCATCATGGCCACAGTGGGGGAGGGGAGAGAGGCTGTGCGTGTGTGTGTGATGGGGTGTGTGTGTGTATGTGTGATGGGGTGCGTGTATGTGTGATGGGGTGCGTGTGTGTATGTGTGATGGGGTGTGTGTGATGGGGGGTGTGTGTGTGTGATGGGGGGTGTGTGTGTGATGGGGGGTGTGTGTGTGTGTGATGGGGGGTGTGTGTGTGATGGGGGGTGTGTGTGTGATGGGGGGTGTGTGTGTGTGATGGGGGGTGTGTGTGTGATGGGGGGTGTGTGTGTGATGGGGGGTGTGTGTGTGATGGGTGTGTGATGGGGGTGTGTGTGTCATGGGGGGGGTGTGTGTGATGGGGGTGTGTGTGTGTGATGGGGGGTGTGTGTGTGTGATGGGGGGTGTGTGTGTGATGGGGGGGTGTGTGTGTGTGATGGGGGGTGTGTGTGTGATGGGGGGGTGTGTGTGTGATGGGGGTGCGTGTGTGATAGGGGTGTGTGTGTGATGGGTGTGTGTGATGTGGGTGTATGTGTGATGTGGGTGTATGTGTGATGGGGGTGTGTGTGTGATGGGTGTGTGTGTGTGATGGGTGTGTGTGTGATGGGTGTGTGTGTGATGGGTGTGTGTGTGTTGAGGTGGGGGGGTAGTGTATGTGTTGAGGTGGGGGGTAGTGTGTGTGTGTGATGGGGGTGTGTGTGTATGTTGAGGTGGGGAGGGTGGTAGTGTGTGTGTGTGATGGGGGTGTGTGTGTATGTTGAGGTGGGGAGGGTGGTAGTGTGTGTGTGTGATGGGGGTGTGTGTGTGTTGAGGTGGGGGGGTGGTAGTGTGTGTATGTGTTGAGGTGGGGGGGGGTAGTGTGAGTGTGTGATGGGGGAGTGTGTGTGTTGAGGTGCTTGGGTAGTGTGTGTGTGATGGTTGTGTGTGTTTGTTGAGGTGGGGGGTAGTGTGTGTGATGGGGGTGTGTGTGTGTTGAGGTGGGGGGGGTAGTGTGTGTGTGATGGTTGTGTGTGTGTGTTGAGGTTGGGGGGTAGTGTGAGTGTGTATGATGGGGGTGTGTGTGTGTTGAGGTTGGGGGATAGTGTGTGTGTATGATGGGGGTGTGTGTGTGTGTGTTGAGGTGGGTGGGGGGTAGTGTGAGTGTGTGTGATGGGGGTGTGTGTGTGTTGAGGTGGGGGGGGTAGTAGTGTGAGTGTGTGATGGGGGAGTGTGTGTGTGTGTGTGTGTTGAGGTGGGGGGGGCGGTGGTAGTGTGAGTGTGTGATGGGTGTGTGTGTGTGTTGAGGTGCTTGGGTAGTGTGTGTGTGATGGTTGTGTGTGTGTGTTGAGGTGGGGGGTAGTGTGTGTGATGGGGGTGTGTGTGTGTGTTGAGGTGGGGGGATAGTGTGTGTGTGATGGTTGTGTGTGTGTGTTGAGGTTGGGGGGTAGTGTGAGTGTGTATGATGGGTGTGTGTGTGTGTTGAGGTGGGGGAGTAGTGTGTGTGTGTGTGATGGGGGTGTGTGTGTGTTGAGGTTGGGGGATAGTGTGTGTGTATGATGGGGGTGTGTGTGTGTGTGTTGAGGTGGGGGGGTGGTAGTGTGAGTGTGATGGGGGGGTGTGTGTGTTGAGGTGGGGGGATAGTGTGAGTGTGTGTGTGATGGGGGGGAATGTGATGATGATGTGTGTGTGATGGGGGGGGTAGTGTGTGTATGCTGGGGATGTGTAATGGGGGGGGGGGGGGGTGTATGTGATGGTAGTGTGTGTGATGGGGGTGTGTGTGTGATGGGGGGTTGGAGTGTGTGATGGGTGTATGTGTGATGGGTGTATGTGTGATGGGTGTGTGTGTGTGTGATGGGGGGAGTGTCTGTGTGATGGGGGTGGGAGTGTGTGTGTGTAATGGGAGAAATGTGTGTGATTGGAAGGGAATTGGGGAGTGTGCGTGTTTGTCGTAGCCTTCATAGGTGCTCGCTAACAGCACTTGCCTCAAACAATCTGTTTAGGTTATACGGGCAATGTTTGTCTTTGTAATGGGGTAGTATGTGTGTGTGTGATGGGGGAATGTGTGTGTGATGAGGGGTGTGTGTGTGTGATGGGGGAGTGTGGGTGTGATGGGGGGAGTGTGTGTGTGTGATGGGGGAGTGTGGGTGTGATGGGGGAAGTGTGTGTGTGTGATGGGGGACTGTGTGCATGTGATGGGGGGAGTAGTGGGTGTGTGATAGGGAGAGAGTACGTGCGTGGCCTTTATAGGTGCGCGCTAATAGCACTTGCCCCTACAGTCTGTTAAATCTATACGGGGAATCTTTGTAATGGGGGAGGGGGTGTGATGGGGGAGTGTGTGTGATGGGGGCGTGGCGTAGGGCTGTTGTTTGTGACTGTGTGAGATGGGGGAGTAGTGACGTGACACTGTGTGTGTGTGGCTGTTTTTTGACAGTCTCACGCCACTGTGTTGTGTTTTGACAGTGGCCTGAGACCGTGGGCTTTAGGAGCGGTCGTGGACTCAGACTCAAATGAGTACTTGGTGCGCTGTGCGTAGTGAACGTCGCCGCTGGGAAGACAAAGGCGACCGGGCGTGGTGCTAGCCACCCCACCCCCTCGTGTACCACCGTGCCGGCCTTCGTAGGGTGCTGCTACTCCCTAACAGCGCTTGCCCCCTACAGTCTGTGAAAGGCTGTACGGGGGATTGTTTGTCTTTGTGTCATGCGGGACTTTGTGTGTGACGGGGGAGTGTGTGTGTGTGTGGCGTGAAAGAGACGTGTAGGAGTGGCGTGAGACTGTGTGTAAGGGGGTGGGTTCTGTCTGTGTGTGTGTGATGGAGGGGTGTGTGTCTGTGTGACAGTGGGAGTGGCGTGGGACTGTGAGGGGTGGGTTCTGTGTGTGTGTGTGATGGAGGGATGTGTGTCTGTGTGACAGAGGGAGTGGCGTGGGACTGTATTATTGAGAAGGTGTGTGCGTGATGGAGGGATGTGTGTCTGTGTGACAGAGGGAGTGGCGTGGGACTGTGTGTATGAGGTGTGTGTCTGTGTGATGGAGGAATGTGTGTCTGTGTGACAGGGAAATAGAGTGAGACTGTGAGGGGTGGGTTCTGTGTGTGTGCGTGATGGTGTGTCTGTGTGACAGTGGGAGTGGCGTGGGACTGTGAGGGGTGGGTTCTGTGTGCGTGATGGAGGGATGTGTGTCTGTGTGACAGAGGGAGTGGCGTGAGACTGTGTGTATAGAAGTGTGTGTCTGTGTGATGGAGGAATGTGTGACAGGGAAGTAGAGTGAGACTGTGTGTATGAGGTGTGTGTGTGTGATGGAGGAATGTGTGTCTGTGTGATAGAGGGAGTGGCGTAGGACTGTATTATTGAGAAGGTGTGTGTGTGTGATGGAGGAATGTGTGTCTGTGTGACAGAGGGAGTGGCGTGAGACTGTGTGTATGAGGTTTGTGCGTGATGGAGGGATGTGTGTCTGTGTGACAGAGGGAGTGGCGTGGGACTGTATTATTGAGAAGGTGTGTGTGTGTGATGGAGGAATGTGTGTCTGTGTGACAGAGGGAGTGGCGTGAGACTGTGTGTATAGAGGTGTGTGTTTGTGTGATGGAGGAATGTGTGTCTGTGTGACAGGGAAATAGAGTGAGACTGTGAGGGGTGGGTTCTGTGTGTGTGCGTGATGGTGTGTCTGTGTGACAGTGGGAGTGGCGTGGGACTGTGTATAGAAGTGTGTGTCTGTGTGATGGAGGAATGTGTGACAGGGAAGTAGAGTGAGACTGTGTGTATGAGGTGTGTGTGTGTGATGGAGGAATGTGTGTCTGTGTGACAGAGGGAGTGGCGTAGGACTGTATTATTGAGAAGGTGTGTGTGTGTGATGGAGGAATGTGTGTCTGTGTGACAGGGAAGTAGAGTGAGACTGTGAGGGGTGGGTTCTGTGTGTGTGCGTGATGGAGGAATGTGTGTCTGTGTGACAGAGGGAGTGGCGTGAGACTGTGTGTATAGAGGTGTGTGTTTGTGTGATGGAGGAATGTGTGACAGGGAAGTAGTGAGACTGTGTGTATGAGATGTGTGCGTGTGATGGAGGAATGTGTGTCTGTGTGACAGAGGGAGTGGCGTGAGACTGTGTGTATAGAGGTGTGTGTCTGTGTGATGGAGGAATGTGTGTCTGTGTGACAGAGGGAGTGGCGTGAGACTGTGTATAGAGGTGTGTGTTTGTGTGATGGAGGAATGTGTGACAGGGAAGTAGTGAGACTGTGTGTATGAGATGTGTGCGTGTGATGGAGGAATGTGTGTCTGTGTGACAGAGGGAGTGGCGTGAGACTGTGTGTGAGGGGTGGGATCTGTGTGTGTGTGTCTGTGTGATGGGGGTGTGTGTGTCTATGTGGGAGTGTTTGCGTGTGAGAGATGAGGGAGTGGCGTGGCTGTGTGACTGTGTGAGCCAGAGAGAGGAGAGATGGAGGATTGGCCCTGAGAGTGTTGTGTGTAAAAGGTGGGGGGGGGGGGGGGGAGTGGCTGTGGGGGTCATGCTTTTGTGAGTGAGAGACATTGGTGGTGGTGGGGGGGGTTGGCCCGAGTGTGTGTGTGAGATGGGGGTGTGGCGACAGAGTTTCTATGCAGTCGTAGGGCTGTATATGCGTGGGCGTGATGGGTGGAGGATTTGTGTCTGTGTGTGTGCTATAGGATGGGTAATGGTGGGGGGGGGGGCTGTCAGTGTGTGAATGATGGGGGAGTGGTGTGTTTGTGTGTGTGTCTGATAGTTGGGGGGGGGGGGGGGCGTTGTATTATGGTACACGAGGGGGTGGGGTGGCCAGCAACCACGCCCGACCGCCTTTGTCTCCCGATTGACGATGATTTTACACAACCGCACAAAGCACTCTTTTAAGGCTGAGTCAACCTAGGGGAAGGCCCGGGACCGGTTCAAACATTCGCCGGCTTTCATAGGGTGCTCGCTAACAGCACTTGCGGCTACACGGGGCATCTCTATATTTGTTGTAGTGTGTCAGATTATGGGGATTTTTTTTTTAGTGCGTATGATCACCGTAGTCGTGGTGGCATGGCAAGTGTGGTTATGACGGGGGATATGAATGTGTGTTATGTTGAGGGTGGGTGTTGTTATAGT